ATCCTGACCCCATGATTCGTAGGGTGCCGGGGCTTTTGGTCACGGACAGTAGGAACGTGTACGATCGCATGCAACAGCCTTACATTTCCCCCACAGGTGAGCAGAAACGTGTTGATCTGGAACTGCTTGTGCTCAAGGAATCCCAGTTGCGTACTGCCTTGGACATCAGATGGGTCAATGCTCAAGCCATGCTGGCTAATAGCCTGACTAAGAGAGGTGAAGATCAGCAATTCGACCGCTTTGTTGCTTGTAAGTACAGGTGGAAGATTGTAGATGATCCTCAAATGTTTAGTGGCCGAGAGCGCTCCAAACGAGGGCTCGATGGCTTAGATGAGCCAGAGCTGCAGACTGTGCCCTCCAAAGACGTTGGAGGCCAGGAGGCCATGCAAGAAGTCACGCTCAGGCAACTGTGGTCACCAGAGAGAATCTCGTGACGCGCAGCTGCGAGTGGCCCTTAGCCTTAGGTGTAGAAAGCTCCTTAGTCCCGACCCTTCATCGTGGAGGCAGTGCGCATCGCCAGCGGGCGAAAAGAGGAGTTCGACAAGTACAAGGCGCACCGGGCTTTCAACCCTAGACCCTAAACCGCTCCTCCATCGCTGCCGGGGAATTCCCAACCAGAGTGTAGTCAAAAGCAGTGACTCCTCTGAGATTTGGGGTTAAGGGGTAAGATCTCCTGTTGCCACCGCGGGCATCTTTCCCGGCACAGACCCAGAAACCTGAACCCTAAACCAGAATGTGTTTTGCAGGATAGTACTCCCTTCATACTAGTTTCAAACTCCCCTGCACCCTTAACGTGTGATATGTCACCGAATACATGAGGTGACTGCTGGGAGCATTGAATATGCGGGGTGGGAAAGGTTTAATATTCGGTAGGAGGACCCCCCACCCTGTAATAGTGGTTTAACAGGAATATAAGAGGACCCTAAACCCTAAACCGATAAACCCTAATCCTTACTATTCCTCATAGTCACTATTACTGGGTGAGGGGTCCACCTAAAATATTCGCATGAAGAAGCGAATCACTTCTAGGCTTCAATTCTTTCAGTGGTTTAGGGTTTAGAGGTTTAAGGTTTCAAGGTGGCCTTGATATTGGGCTGTTCAATGGGCTGTTCAAGGTTTCAGCCCGGAGCTTGGGAAAGATTACCTTTAACCCGAATTTAGGGTTGAGTAGGGCTCAGTAAAGCCCGAAATTCAAACTCTAAGCCAAACACCCTGACAGTGGTTTCACTGCTGTGTTTTGAGAGGCTTTTTAAATTGAACCCAAACCCTAAACCCGACCAAGTTGTGATTGCACATGCCCTTGATCTGCATGCGCAACAGGGGCGCCCGAAGGCGCGAGAATGTAGAGGTGCCAAGAAGACAGAAAATTTACGAGCAGCTGCTGGCCACAGGCATGCAAAGAATGCACGGTTAGGCAAAACCTGACATTCAACTGGTGAACACACACATGCACAACTGAGTGATGCATACGAAGCTGCCGCCGTCAAACGGCTAACGAGGCATGCTGGTGAATGACACGGAGTATGGATGCAGTGGGATCCAAGCAGAACCTAGCGGAACTCACTCGTTGCCATGGCGATCTTGCCACAGCTCTTGAACAGTGCCTGCAAGGTGTTTGAGAATTCTGGTTGCTTGGGCTTTGCTTTGCCCTACCGCAGGCCACCCAAATCTTGCTTGCAGCCATCTCCCCGGCATCGGCGGCCTAGTGGCCTTGTTGGGTGCCCCAACCCTAAACCCTATACCCTAAACCCTAAACCCTAAACCCTAAACCGTGAAGTTGCAGGTGGCCCCGCTCCTGCGACTGACATGCAACCCCTGCTTCATACCAGAATAGTGGTGAATCACATGGAAAAGAAGATGGTGAATTACATGGATTCTGTCTTCTAAAAGTGGCTTATAAGGATGTAGTCCCTTCATAGGAATATTAAACACCGGGATGGAGGAGCTCAGCCTCAAGCTCCTCTCTAACTCTAGGCAACCTCATACAGAACCACCTATGGACCTCCAAAAATCCGTAAGGGAGCGGTTACATTGCACTGAATGGTCTGACAATCAGTCCAATCGGTGTGTGATCTTTGCTTGTAGTTCGGGATTAGCGTTTGGGGCTTGGTATGGTGCTACACCCAGCACTCACATAAAGTTCATCCTATACCCTAAACCCTAAACCAAACCCTAAACCCTAAATTAAGTCTGCACCTTGCTCTCAACGCATCCATCCACCCTAAGCTCCAGGAAACAAACCTCCCAAGTCAACAGGATCTGCGATCTGTGACACAAATCGTCTTAGAACCTTCATAAAGACTTCGTTTTTGTTCCTATGTTGAAGCTCCCGCATCAAACACATGGATCTTCCTGGGCTTCATTCCAGCCTTACCCTAAAACCCTACGGCCCTACAACCTAAACCCTAAACGCTATACTTACCGTCGGTCCTGCAATGTCCTTCACATGGGGGTCCGCCCGCTTCTCGAGGAGCAGACGGATGCCGGAGACATCTCCGGACCTGCAAAGGCTTTGGGGTTCAGGGTCACTACCTGGTCATGTATATATTGCGACCGTTACCAGGAGCATTAGTAAAAAAGCTGATGAACTAGGTATATTATGAGGAACTATTATCTGTAGATACTAGTCATGAGAAGCCAATTCTGTAATAGTGGTATATAAGGATATAAGAGGAAGCTCATATAATCACCATTATCCCTTATAGTCACTGCTACTGGCCCCCAAACCCTATACCCTAAACCTACTTACCTTGGATCCTACAGTTATGGTCACAATGACTGGGTGGGGGTCCAACTAGATCCTTATCTACCTGGCTTAGAATCAGCAACCCTAAGCAGTACTGAATTAGCTCACACACCGTCTGGAATTATAGGGGTTGAATACAAAAAATGTCAACCATAACAAAAATGCTAGGAAAATCAAGCATGCTATAGGATCACTCGCAATATCCTCGCAATCCTTTGGCCATGCCAAGGTCCCCCGCCTGCACGCCACACCGAGCGGCGTTGCCAGCAAAAGCTCTCGACGTCCTGCATTCACACCAGGCATGGATCTTCCCTCGCTTAGGCTCCTGAAGCTTTCCTCCATGCAATACTTACAGGAAGGGCTGCCTCTCCACTTCAGATCTGGGGGTTTCCTAAAATTAGGGGTACCATTTTGGGGGTCCCATAAGGACTATCGTATATTGGGGTCTATATTGGGGTACCCTAGTTTTGGGAAACTACCATCTTAGTCTGCCAATGAAAGGAAACTCTTCGCCTCTCTGCTAAGCCTGGACTTCACATGCCAGAGCCGTGGAACAGTCCTGTGTTCACATCAGCTCGGAATCGCAGCAAGACTTCCACCGCATCGTGGTTTCTGAAGAGGGCTGCGAGGCCGATGACTGAGAAGTTTCCTTTGCAGCTTGGCAAAAATCAGATTGGGTAGACTTTTTGACTTTTCTAATTGCGTGTGGTTGCACCAAGAACCTTACGGAGTCCTGTATGAAAAATGCTTCTAATAATACATCCCATCCGTACAGGACCCCACAAAGAGAACGTATCAATGAAAAGCCAGAATTCTTGTCAAGCACATCGACGGAACATGCTTCGTCACTTTGTCGTGAGGGCTGGTCCTGCTTTCCAGCAAGGCTTCTATCAAAGGCGCGCTTCCGCTCATAGAAGCGTAGCACAGTGGTGAGAAGCCATTTCCGTCACGTTCCTGAACCTCCCGAAAGCCATTGCGGTGCAGGAACTGTGCTAGCAGGTGTGATTTTGATCCGGTCGCTGTGTCGTCCGCGGGCAGGAAAGACGCCAGCCCTGGCAAGGGATCGTCAAGCTTCATAGGCAGGCCGCGCATGATAATGGTTTGCTTGTTCAACAAGATGCGGTATTTCAAGATGTCCCCTCGGATCAGACAGGACTTCACGGACTGCGAAAAGGCTTGCTCGAGCATGGGCGCAATCTTGACGCGATCTTCATCCACGGCAAAAAGACCCTCAAACGGTGAGTTCAGCCAACTCGTCATTCTCATGACTTCTGCATGGTTGGCGCTCGTCATCACGATCCTGGACCGCCGTTGGGTACAGGGGTTTGGGTTTAGGATTTGGTGATGGATACTATGACGGCAATCGCAACGCAGGCTGCAGGGGAGTGCCGTCACGCCATACCAAGTGCGAGAACAGTTTTCGGCTCAGGGCTTAGGGTACAGGACTCTCAGCATCTCAAGAACTGGGCTCAGCAGTGGTTTTCTCAACAAAAGACTACCCTCAGAGATTTTAGGGACATGCCGGGACCGTGAGGGCTGCCTTCTTTAGAACAGTACGGTGTGCTTTCCAGAAACTCTCGAACACCAAAATTCTGAACCATGGCCCTCTCGCACCCTAAACTCAAGGACACTTAAGGTAGGTAGTTCACTTTCAGGCGGGTAGTTCGGAGTTACCGTGATACAAGCACTGTATAAGATGTTTATGCGGGTACCCTTCCGGCAACTACCCACCCAAAACTGTCCTCGACCCCCTAACACCCCAAACTCCTCCCAAAACCCTCACCCCAGAACCCCTGAGCCGAGCACCTAAGCCCTCCCTGAAACCCCTAAACCCTGAAGCCTGAAATCCTAAACCGCCCAACAGGATGAGAGTCCATGGTAAGGTCTCTCAGCTATTGATCTCCCGCACCGTCTGCTCCCCACGCGACACCACCCGCGATCTAGGGTTCAGGGTTTACGGACATGGAAGCTGGGGGTATCTGGGGTTATGTAGGCGCTGAAGTGGGGGGTTCAGGTGTCCTTGTCAGGGATTGTATAGGCACTGTTTTGGAAAACATCCAGATGCTCTTATGCATGCATGTACGGCCGCAAAATAGACCAACGTCAGCCAATGCAAGCACGCACATACAGCACATACATACCGTGGGGCAAGCATGAAATTTAGAATGCGTGCGCGTGTGCTTATGGATGGACCCTAAACCGTAAACCCTAAACGACCACTGTACGGATGGGTCGAGGTCAGGGTGTGGATGTATGGGCTCATGAATGTGCAGATGGATGTATGGATGGCAGTCGACTAGATGCACACTGACAAAGCGGCACAGCACGAAATGCCAAGGAAAATAAGCCTAAACCCCAAGCCCAAAACTCTCAACCCTAAATCCTAGACCCTAAACCCTAAATCCTGAATCCCATACCTTGGACTAGGGTTTTTAGGGCTTTGGGCTCCCCAGCCTCCCTGCACTCGAATCCCCAATCAAATTCGCCCCACTTACTGGTTGTTACGGGGGAATAAAGAGACATAATCCCTACATACTCCCGCAGGAATAGATTCCCTTATTCCCTACACTATTATTATTACTATTGCTATTTTCTGGCTTCCGGATTTGAGGCCTAGCCCTACTAATCCCCAGTAAGCCGAGCCTGCCCAGGAGAAATAACTATAAATCTTGGAGTGCCCCTCGACGGTCGGACAGAGCGCCACGAACAACTCACACCTGAGACACACAATAATTAGGGTTTAGGGTTTAGGGTTTAGGGTTTAGGGTGGGTCTCGGTAGGCATATCCGACTTCTCTACAACAATAACTATAAGTTTGTATAGAACAGTACCTGCTCATAATCTTGGTTTTGCCCGACCTAGGTTTCGGGGCACTTCTGAAAAGAAGTCCTGTTTCCTACCCTGCGTCCCAGGGGAGTATAATGGTAAGTGGGCTAATTACAGCCACGCTCCACATACAGTTGAGTTGAATAATCTTGAAACCCTCCCTAGACCCTAGATGGTTGGCAACGTGTGTGTGCATGTGGGCAGGGATGGCTGTACGAAGCAATTTATGGAATATTGCGTCGAATCATCAAGGCACAGTGTGGTGCCACTTGCTGATATGGATGTCAGGACTCAGGGTTTAGGTACAAAGCTGCTAAATGTGAATCTTGCATGTACCAAACTCACAACTATCAACTCTGTACTGTAAACCTTAAGCCCTTAAATCTACATCAATAAGTTAGTAGTTGTGAATGTAACTTCATGCAAAGAGCCCCCTACAAGAACTTGCTCTGTCTAAGGAAAAATCTGAACTTACCTCCTCCATATGGAATAGGGGAGTTCGTTCAAGCAGTCCTGTATAATCCGTGATGGGGACCCTTCCTCTGTGTAATCTGTTTTGAGAAACCCCAATCCCTAATCTCCCACAAAGGCCTTGGTGCTAGAACTGCACCCAGCAGCTACTCACACGATCTCTTGGAATCATGATATGCGAGAAAAAGAAGCAAGAATCAAGCGGATAAGTACTGTGATGGACGGCCGAACCCAAGAAGGAATGAGACTGATCAGATACCTACACAAGCCGGGTTGATGTGATGAAAATAAAAGAAAAATTCTGGTCGTTGAGTTCCGGTTGGAGTTGTGCCATTGCGACCTATACGCACCCCACACACAGCCTTGTGCGTGTTGGGGCACGCCTGCCATCGCGGAACAAGGTGCCTTAACCCTTCATTGACGCATAAACCAAATACCAAAACCCTAAAATCCTAAACCACCAAAACCCTAAACCGAATCCTAAAACCCGAAAGCCTTAAACCCATAAGCCGTAATCCCAAAATCCCTGAACACAAAACCCACATCCCCACCTTGCCACATAGGCGGGGATGGAATCGATCGCTTTCTGGAGGTTCGATACGTGGCTGGGCTCTGGCTTGTTTCCAGAGGGGTTTAGGGGTTTAGGGGTTTAGGGGTTTTGGGGTTTAGGGCTTTAGGGGTTTAGGGGTTTATGGGTTTAGGGGTTTAGGGGCTT